CTCTACTGTGAAGACATATCATAGTAATTGACAATAAGTACAGCAAATACTGCTATCCTGAACAGTACAAGTTCAAATGCCATCTTCTACACATAAAGTGACTTTGTCTTGTCTCAAAACAAATCCTAAAGTCAGTTTCCCACAGTAGGATAAGTTTTGTACCTCACCTCTGGCCTATGTCTTCTACTTTTTCTCTTTTATGCCACTGCAGCCTCCATGGGAAAGAGATGTAAGAGTCTGAGGATAGAAGCACAGCACATGGCTGGAGACACAGGCATTGGACACTCCCAGAAACACTTAATGCTGAAGAGTCTTAGGCTGGGTTCACACCTGAGCGTTTTTTTATGCTCGTTTTTCAGCTAATTTTTTTGGCGTTTTTACGTTCAGTGAAACGCGCGTTTCACTGGCTGTATGATATTTTTTTTTTCTTTATGTTCTCAATTTTTATTTTTATTTTTTTTTAGTTTCACTTTTAAACTTCCCGCCGGCTCTGCCCCCCTGCGACGCAGCCACTCGCAAGGGACGGAACCCGGAAGTCGGTAGCCGCCAAAGACACAGCGGGGATCGCGGACAAGGTAAGACCCGTACGCTGTATTCCCGAGTGTGGCTCGGAGTTACCACTTTGTTAACCCCGATGCACACTCGGGAATACCAATGGCACCCCAAAGAAGCTCCTGTACTTCTTTGGGCGTAGGGCGTTTTGCAGCGCGTTCCTACGCGCTGTAAAACGCCCAGGTGGGAACCATGCCCATAGGCAGTCATTGGTTTTCACATGTTGATCGTTTTACAGCGTGTAGGAACGCGCTGTAAAACGCTCAGGTGTGAACCAGGCGTGTTGACAGCCTTTAACGAAACGTGTTGTGCAGAGCTACGGGCACAGTGACGTCATCACACCAATGGGATGTGTGCAAAGCACACAACAGGTTGCATTGCAATGTGTACCTCCCAACAACTATTAAGAAGTTACTCCTTTGGTGCTTGTGTTGTGTAAGTGTGTTTTAATCTTGTTTTAATCCTTAATAAAAATTGGTCTGCATTATGAGAGTTTGTCTATTCTGCTTTATATCATTGCTGCTGCCATTAACCTGGGGAATGTGAGAAGGAATACCGCCATTCAATAGCTTGTTGTAGATCTAATCTGTAACAAGAGCATACTGACCAACTTATTGATTTTCAGTGGTCACATCTATCTGGTGAGTTTTGTCTTCATTGGGGGAAGTGTTCCAGGTGGAGGAGTTTGCAAGCACAGCTTTTCAGAGCATACATCAGATATGAACACATTATATCGGTGAAAGAGCATTTTCTTTGAGTATACAACTTATATGGAAATGGGAAATATTTAACACTCAATTTGTTCATTTGCTCATTTGTCAGCACTTTTGTGGTTTATACACATTCATTTGTTTGATACTAAATCAACTTGATTTTATTGGTGTGCTATATATTATATTGAAGTCATTATTGAAGTCATTTTATATCAATTTGTTTACTATTTATTTATGGACTACATTTTACTCATTTGATCGCATGTTTATTGTGCACATATTTATGCACCTCTAGTTTCTTCAGTGCTGTACTTCTATATACATATTGGACTCCTGGAAGTTTCCAATGCCGTACAGAGGCTGCAGCGCTGGAACAGAGCGAAGTTAGGAGACAAAGGCCTGCTGGAGAGGTGAGTGTACTACTTCTTCTATTACAGGGAACTGGCTTTTGGATTTTTTTTAGACTTTACAGGGTCACTTTAACAAAAATTTACCCCCCAAAGAAAGTATCTAGTTTAAACAAATAGAAGTGTTCTTCAGCAGAGGCAGTAAAGAGTTTGCACAGTGACACTTTATAAATAAACATAAACAATCTTACTGACTGGACTTATTTGGACTTGTATAGTTTATAGTGTGGGTATGCTGTGCGGCTGCTTGCTTTTACGCACGTTCTACGTTTAACCACTTCTTGATGTTGTATTTACATGTGAGAATGTCATCTAATTATTATAGGTAAGAGGTTTCAGCTTGATAACAAGAACACATAATAGAGATGTCTGTCAACACTTTGTGTTTTATCTCTGAGATTGCACACTGTCATCAATATGCTCCCACTCCCTCTCCTGTTATAATTGGTGAGAAATTTACATTGCCTTCCAAATTTTTTTCCTTTTCTTCCACTGTTTTTATGCCATTCTCCACTTTCACATTTCAGCTTCTTTCCACCTGTTACAGACAGCCCTTCTCTAGCACAGAGAACTGCAAATTGCTTGTTAATATAAACCCGCCAGCAAAGAGAAATCTGCGAGAAAAGCAGGAAAATGAATGCCACATTGCGAGCAGCACTTTAAATTCTACTTTCTCCTTCTAGTAGTTCAGTGATAGGGTCAGTACTAAATGGTAGTAGTCCAGCCTAATGACACAGATGTGGTCTATTTATTGACTGAAAGGGTGAAACTGCCAGTCAGGAAAAACCAGCCAATGGCAATGACAGGATTTCATCACCTAAAAGGTTTTTCTACTGGAGCTCAATCAACATGGCTGTATCGTAATCCAGTTGGGACACTTTATAGATAATTTTAAGTCACATCTGTGCTGGATACATAACAGCAACAATATCCCGACTTGTAAGCAATAATGTGATGACAGCGATAAGTCATTTTTGCAGTCTCTTTGTTTTTCATGCTTAACAATCTACGCTGATTTTGATAAATGCAAGGGTGGAATTTATACATTTTTAGTTGCAAAGACCAAAATCTCATGTGAACTAAAAGCGAAGTTTAATCTCTGTTATGCGTGTTTTTTTAAAGTGTTCTTGCAACATATTAATGTTTGTAACTCACTGCACATGTTATGCAACATTTTGCATAATTTCTCAACTATGCATCCAGCATTTGCGACAGTAAAAGACCTCCAAACTGTTGCAGTTTGTAGAAGTGCTCCTGAGCAACTCTTAAAGTAGCACAAAGATAACTCAGCTTCATACCCTCAAGCCAGTTAAGCACTTAAGGGCTAAGCAGCTGTCCTCCAGGAATTCCCCACAAGTCTGCAATAATTCTACTTATGAAGGCATTTGGGAATTAAACATAAAGTAGGATCATATGCACTAGAAATCAGGGATGCAACAGTTTAAAAAGATGCTGAAGATGATATATATTCACTATATATATACTTTTTCTATCAAAATGAGTACAGATCATTAAATGTTTAGGTAGAGATAGAGTCTGGTACATTTTTAGTGTTTTCTTTTTTGTCCTTTGACTTAATACTAAGTAATTTATAGCAGTTGGTGCCTCACTTGCTACCACCCTATCTGATAGAGAGTTTGAGAGTTTTGGGTTCCAGGTTAGTTGCATTGTTTACTACAGAAAATGTTGGCTGTGACACAGTGGGATACAATGTAGTCTTGCTTTTCTGTTCAGTAAGCAGTTGTATGTCCACTGTTTACTGTGTGGAAAAATAAAAACAACTGGTTTTAAATGTGGCTTGCCATACATTTTTTCATGTGTGAATCATATGGGATGCAATGCTAATGTACACAGATGTTTTTGGATAAATTAAGCCCCTGAAATGCAATGATATGTGTTGTAACTTTCCTAGTAATGAAGGATACTGAGCAAAATGACTTACTTCAATGGATTCTTTAGGGTTGATTTATTAAAGGCAAATAGGATGCAAGGGAATTTTTACTTTGTAAGAGAATGTTCCCTTAGCTTGGTGAATGAGGTGAAGCTCTGCTGACTTCCATCATCCAATCATGTGCAAGCAAAAATACTGTTTTTTGGGTGTGTGCGTGTGATTGGGTATTGACCACAGTCATTAGAATAAGGGAAAATTCCCTTGCATAGCCTATTTGACTTTAGTATATCAACCCGGTGTCTTTACAGAAAACATAAAATTAACCTATACTCAAATGTTAACATTAAACTATGTTAATAGTATTGTTGGACTGGTGTAATAAATCACAATCAACAGAAGGACTGAAATAAGAAGGACTGTACCTCAAAGTTCTCTTCAATGCTTGTAACATGACTGAAAAAAGCCTAGCCCCTAGACCTTGTGATCATCTCAACCAATGTTCGCAGTTGCCAGTCCTCTCCCTTAGAAGAGATCATGTGACCAAGTACGCCTAAGTATGCCTTAACATGTGACTAGCACAGAAGGGAACCTGAGTAGAACTTTTCCAGGAAACAGAAACATTTCAGCCCTTCTCTGATTCTTTGTATATACATTCCAACAAGTCAAAATACCTTTATGTTAACATTTCAGTTTTGGTCCACTTTTAATACAGACTGTACATGTCAGTTATAGTATAATTCACATTCCTTCTCCAGCTGGATCCTGAGCAAACACATTTTTTTTTATTTTTAACACTCCATTAAAAAGCTGTACCTACAGTATATGGATTCTACAGAATAGGCTTTTATATTTATAAATTATTGGCTGCTATACATTTTTGACTGTTTTTAATGCAACCATTAGAATTCTGCCACAAATATTGAAACAATTCAAGCTCACTCTAAAATATGCAACAAAATGTCAAATAATGGAAATTTCAATTGTAATTTCTGGGTTCCTCCTGCTTCATAAAGACTGCCTTTTCAGATTAATGAGAGGGCCTGTAATGCATTGCCAACGAAACTGTCATTCCCTGCCTAATTAACCAACACATGATTCTTCTGGTTAGCTGGAGTATATAATACATTGGGATACTGAGCACGCATATATTACCATCACACGCTACAGATATCTGCTGAAGGATTTGAGTGTCAGTAAGGGTTTCCACAGAGACTGGATAAAAAAGTCTATTGTATATAAAGTCTATCATAAGTAACATGTCAATTTACAATTATTTTTATATCATTCAGTTCAAACCAAAGTTTTGGAAATTATTGAAAGTTCACTTTAAATCTATGACAACAGTATGGCTGAAGAAAAAAAAATCTCTCATCTGCACAATTATTTGCCTCTGTTTTATCATTTATTTCCACTAGTGATAAAATGATTTGTAAAAAAAAAAAAAAACCTTGCAGAGAAAAAAATATATACGTTCTATTGGTGACAGACGTAAAACAAATATTCATTGCACCATGTCTTCATTTTCACCCTGAATTTTACAGAAGGTAAAAAGAAAACGAAAAAAAGGAACCCTCAGGTTATATGCAAATCATATCCAAGTGCTTCCATCTCTCTGAATTTATCTCCATGTTCTACAATGATTTAAACTGCCGTATTAAATGTAATCGAGTTCTCCCATAACCCTTTCAACTCGCTGTACTACTTTGTTTTTTTCTTCTTTATTCTCACATTTTGCCATATGAATATTGGTATTTTTACTTTCCTACAAAATATCCCATGGAGTCTCGTTTCCTGTTTTGTTTGTTTTTGTCTCACAGCTGAAGTTTATTTAATTTCTATTTATTTAACTTGAACTCTCTGTCATGACTCATTTGTGGGCACCAGGGAAAAAAACGAGATTTTGCTATGGGAAGGTATCTGGTAAGTCCAAAAATGAATGAGTCATCATGTGTAAGAGTAGTCTGTGTCGGGGATACCAGCATCTCTATATCCCCTGTGAGTGCCATAACCTATCGTGTGGGTACTTTTGTACAGACTGGTGCCATTAGATGGAAATATAGTATGGATCACATACTCCTCCTTGGCTCTGTGAGGATTTATTGGTAACATTTGAAGCCCTGGTCCTCTGATCTCCAATATAGAATTATCTTTTTTGGTGCCAGACTCAATGTAATCATCTTTCTTTCGGCTGCCACGGCTACAGGCTCTTTCTCGAGTTAATAGTTGCCCAGCTCGATGGACATACCAGCAGATGGATGCCAAGATGAGAAAAAGGAAGACAAGGGTGACCGCACCTCCTATAATGCCAGCCAAAGGTAATCCAGCAAGGGGATCAGCATTTTGCTCTCGATTAAGTGTAGTGGTAGGGCCATAAACATCCCCTGTCTCTGCCTTAGCGCATACAGGGGATTCATCTGCAAAGTAGGAGTTGCCTGTTTCCATTGTTACCATACAAATTATATAGGTGGATCTAGGCTCCAGAGCAGTTAGCAAATACTCTGTCTTATCTCCTTGAACTAATGTTTCTGTGATAGAACCAACAGCTGGGCTGTGTCCTAGTCTCAGCCAACTCAGTCGGAAAGAACTGGCTGGGACAGATGTCTTCCAGGTGATGCGAATGCTATCAGCCGTCAGCGGCTTAACACTGATCACCAAAGATTTAGTGGCTGCCCCAGTTTCCATAGGGTAATCCAAGTTTGAATCTGGGAGCCTAATACCTGGTCTTTTGGATTTAAGTGTAAAGAGAGAACCTTGGGGTGGGGTAGTGACTGATGGAACTGCAGGAGTTGCACGTGCAGAGGATGGATTGTTCTGGGGACCTCCTTCAAAGCACTCATCCATCTCATGTGTGATGTCTTTGATGGCCATTCCCCTAACTTTCTCAGGACCCTGACACATCAGGCCACGTACATTGACCACAGTAGCCCTAGCTTTCACCCAGTCTCGCAGCCACATGAGACTGCAGCCACAATACCAGGGATTATTCCTGAGGAGCAGCTGGCTCAGATTCTCTAGGTCATCAAAAAGGCCACGGGGGAGTGCAGTAAGGTTATTATTAGAGAGGTCCAGTCTCTGTAGTTGTCTCATTTTAGACAGTGTGTTGTAGGGGATATGGGTGATAGCATTTTCCTGCAAGTAAAGCTTCTGAAGGTGTGCACTTGGCAAATTTAGAGGTGGAGCTGCTAGTGAATTTCTGACTAATGACAGCTCAGTCAAATTTTGAAGTCGACTGAATGTGTCATCTGCAATGCGTTGATTAGCGAGTAGGTTTCCATCAAGTACTAACCTCCTCAAATTAGTGAGTCCCTTAAAGGCATGAAGTGGGATAGTTGAAATGCGATTATCATCCAATCTCAGCTCTTCCAAAGTGTGTGGTAAGCCATTAGGAATGCTGCTGAGATGGTTCCGTGAAAGAAAAAGCAGTCGAAGTTGACGAGTATCTAAGAAGGCATCGTCTTCGATGCTGACAGTTGACACAGAGTTATCATCTAGGTGAAGTTTTTCAATAAGTGGTATCCGAGAAAGGGCATCCCGTGTAACACTGCGAATATTGTTGTTTTGAAGGTGGAGCTCTCTTAGTGACCGGGGAAGGTTTAGTGGTAATTCATCTAAGTCATTCTCATACAGGTAGATTACTCGAACATTGGTCTTTGTTTTCAACTCTGGTGGTACCCCAGCATTGTTTATCTGATTATTCTGGAGGTAGAGGGTGGTTGCATCATCTGGAATCTCTGCTGGAATGGAGGTCAGACCTCGGTCATTACAGTAGATGAAGCCATTGTCACAACGGCATACATAAGGGCAGTTAGTGCTATCTATCACCTCTGTCAAAAATGCAATAAGACCATAACACAGGAAAAGCCAATCACGCAAGTCCAAAGTAGCGGTTGTCATGGCAACTGTGGTAGCAGTTGCTGTTGTGGTTGCTACTGCAGAGGCAGTTGCTGCCGTGGTTGTAGTAGTTGTGGTGACCACCATGTTGCTGTAGTTTCTTCTTAGTCAAGGCTATATTTTATTAATCTGAAGAATTTGAATATGATCCTAAAAGAGAGAAATCAGAAAATTAGAATCTTTAAGAAAATAAATAAATTAAAACCAAATAACTGTTTGCACTTCTATTATGTTATATTTAGTATAAGTCATTGTTTTCACTTTTCCATGTTATCTGTAGAATGCTCCATCATGTCATTGTTCTAACACATTTCTTATAAATGCTACTATGATGTTTCTATTATTAATGCTTCAGTTCCATGTAAATTAAACGAAACATAGATGTGAAAAGAAAGACCTGGCTTTAAAACAGCCATTTGTAGAAAGAACATGGTATATCCATGGCTGTGTCAGCTGAACATGCATGTTTTTGCACTGAGAAGGCACCCTTGGCACTGGCCTTATGTCAGGAAGCAGTAATGAGTTGGTAGAAGAATCTATTCCAGTCAATCGATTCCTTTACCAAGAAAGGTTGTCTGCAGAGGTCATAGTGTCATTATAGTCATATAGTTTTTCTTAAATCAACCATAACTGACTGGATTGTGTGGAGATATTCTATTATTAATGTACCTTTTTGGAGTTTAGGTTAGCTTAGCTGAAACATCTTTACATTGTCTGTTTCTTTAAGGTAAACTGCAATGTATTATTTGTAACTCCTAATGTGCCCATGTGACTAACACAAAATTTATGTCACCTTTTCTGAGATAATACCAAGTATACTGTGCTCTGCATGGTCATCTATACTTTTCATTAGATTGTAAGCTCTGTGAGATGGGATTCCCCTTACCCAGGAGAAGTTATCCTTATTATATCTCTTTGCTCTGTATGCACATTACATTGCCCGTGTGAATCACAGCGGCCGTGTTTTGCTCCGCATAAAAGCAAATTAATAAGTGAGGAGAAGCAGAAGATGAAGTGATTATAATGTGTGAGGAAGTTCTGAGAGTGATTTTTAAGCGCATGATTGTAAAAGCAAGTCCATCTTTTGACTTGCATAATAGCTTCTCAGAGCCATCTCAGCTGGGAGATTAGAGCCTGCGTCACCAGCATTATGATGGAAATCACATTCCGATAATGATTGAGCCCTTCTTGGGCCCTCTGAGATCTGCATAATATAACTCTCTTCACAATACACTGGTTCTTTGCCAAAATTTTAAAAATCAGCCTCTACTCTGTTTATTTAGAGAGTTAACAGCTCAATACCCTTTAAATGGAAACCATATTTAACACTTTAATTGTCAGGCTGGCAAGACAACATCACAATTTTATTAACCCCTTCCAAATGATCTAGAACAGTAGTAAAATACTGCGGATATGCTATAGGAATACATTTAAAACCATCTTTTTTTATATCTTTATATTGGTTGCCTAAAAATGTTGGATAGGAAAATGAAAGTGTTGCCCTTAGAATGTAATCAGATAACAGCTGTAATTTTTCTATTGCATACATGAACTGCTAGTAGTTAGAATGGGCTGCTTCTTTCTTCCTTTTTGTCTCCAATAGTGATGGGCCGAACACACCCGAGTTCAGTTCGAGTTTGTACTTTAGAATATGAAAAAAGTTTGAACTCGTTTTTAGGGAGCAGTGATTTTAACATTGCTTAATGTGAAACTATAAAAATGAAAAATTCCTTTAAATATAGTGCCTGGGGAGTCCCCTTGAACTGCCTGTAAATTAGCGCATCTGTACGATGTATAGAACCTGCTGCAGCAAAAATGATATTTGTAAAGAAAAAATTGACATTTATAAAGAAAAAAAAAAGGTGTGTGGTTTCCCCCTCCCAAACAATACCAGACTCTTTAGGTCTAGTAGGAATGTTAGGAGGGACCTCATTCAAATAAAGGGAAAAGAATAGTGTGGTGTTCCCCCCAAAAGTCCTACCAGACCCTTAAGGTCTGGTAGGAATTTTTGTATGGACCCCATTTTAAAAAAAAAACAAAAAAAAGTGTGTGGGGTTCCACCTCAAAGTCATACCAGGCCCTTAAGGTCTGGTAGGAATTTTTGTATGGACCCCATTTTAAAAAAAAAACAAAAAAAAGTGTGTGGGGTTCCACCTCAAAGTCATACCAGGCCCTTAAGGTCTGGTAGGAATTTTTGTATGGACCCCATTTTAAAAAAAAAACAAAAAAAAGTGTGTGGGGTTCCACCTCAAAGTCATACCAGGCCCTTAAGGTCTGGTAGGAATTTTAAGGAGGAACCCCACCCCCAAAACATGGGGTCCCCCCTAAAATTCCTAACCAGACCCTTGATCCGAGCACAGGCCTGGCAGGACAGGAAAGGGGAGGGGACGAGCGAGCTCCCCCCCTTCCTGCAATACCAGGCCACATGCCCGCGGCACTGGGAGGGTGCTTTTTCAGGGTCGGCCCTGGAAAAGCACCTTGTTCACTGGCGGAACTACCAGGGTCGCAGCGGTCGCAATTGCGACCGGGCCCTGGCATTCCACCACTTAGGGGGGCCCAGCGAGGAAGAAGAGGGCCCCCCAGAGAGTGCCGCTCCTTCCCTGCCTGCAAGAGAGAGACTCACCTGGCCGCGTTCTCAGAGCGGCGTTCGGCTCCGCCCACTCCCTTGGCGTGACTCGTGCAGCCGTCCCCATAAAGCCGGGAGACTTGAAATGCTCAGTGTCTTACCTAAAGCGCTGAGCATTTCCCGGCTGGCTACTGCTCTTTCTATTGCTCCGTCCTGTCCGTTGGCTGTTAGGCTCCCGACGTGGCAGTCTGCCTGTTTGATCTGCAGCCTGTCAGCTCCCCTGTCTGGAGACAGACAATCTCCAGTGCTCTACCTCGCTCTGCATGATAAGCTGGGTGGAAGGGAAACAACAAGATCGTGTTGCAGGAGCTCTCGGCACGCTGGACTGGCTCCGTGTGGGGGTGGGGGGGGAATGATATAGTGCTCACTTTTATTATAATGCTTTGCTGGGACTTGTAGTCCTGCATAGCTGGTGTTTTTCTGCATTGCTGTATGACGATTATACAGCAATGCAGAATAGCTCCAAACATGTAGGACTACAAGTCCCAGCAATGCATTATATTTTTAAGTAGGGATTCACCACTGCCAATACTAGGCCTTTTCACGAGTACTCATACTTGTGAAAATGCCCCGATACTAAACGCAAATACCGGCGTTCTGTCGAGAACGCCAACGTAGTCGAAATTGCCGACCTCAGCATCTGCGCTTGTGCACAGACCAGTATTATTGAGGGAACAAGCATTTATTCACAAAGTATTTTGTTTAAATTGTTAATTGTGACGGTTAATAATATTCCACCCATCATTTACTGCCATGGACGGGATATTACTAACGGTCACAATCAACAATTGCAAACGAATACCTTGTAAATAAATGCCGGTTTCCTTGTTAATCCCGTCTGTATATAAGCGCAGATACTGGGTCGGCGTTCTCGACAGAACATCAGCACTAACATTTTAAACAAGCGGCTGCCCGAGGCCCTTGCTGCAGACCTCGGCAGCCTTCCTGTTAACCATGGGTGGGCCCTTCATGGTTTCTTGCACCGGGGCCCTGAAGGCTCTTGTTACGCCTCTGACCTTGTCCCTGTGCCGATGGGGACAAGGGACTCTTCACCACAAGCCCTGGGGGGTTGGTTGTGGGGGTGCGGTCAGGAGGCTTATTCACATTAGGGCACCCCTTTAATAAAGGGGCACCTAGATGCGGCCTCCCCCTTGTGAAAATACAACAAAGGCTTTTGACAAGTCCTTTATTGTAAAAAAAAAATTGATCCACCGATGTAATCCTGGGGTCAATCACAACGTCCAGCGTTGTCCACGACGATGGTGACTCGACGAAATTAAAAAAGTTAAATAAAACATAAATAGAAATTATTTTTTTTACACGCTGCCCACTGACCCGTCCGCTCACGACGAACTCCTGCCACAGAATGGCTTTCTGACAGATGCAGACAAAATATAAACAATTGAGCGGCGCTAGCGGTGACAGCTAGCTGGCTCCGCCCAACTGTTTACATTTGTACAGCACCTGACAGGACTTAGCTGTGTGAGCCATGATTAGGCAAAGTCATTACTTTGCCCAATCATGGCTTTCAGAGTGCACTGTGCTGTGATTGGGTAAAGTCTTGCACGTGACCTGAGGTCAGGTGCATTGCTTTGCCCAATCAGGGCTTCACGAGGCACTGTGCGGTGCAGAGTGCCTTGTGGGGTGCTTGGTGGGTAAACAGCCCGCCGAACGCCCTGATAGTTTGTGTGTTTGCTGGACACACGAACTGCCAATGTTCGAGTCGAACTGTTGCTCGACTCAAACATCGAGCCCATCCCTAATCTCCAACTACCCCTCTTAATTTATATATATATGCAAATACATATGTGCTTCTTCCTCCATGCATACAATATATTTTTAGAATATTTTGTAATTGTTTAATAAAATATAAAACATGACACTATATGAGCAATTTTCAGTGAAAAGACCAAGGAATTTTGTTAAATAGATGTCTTAATCGGTTCATTAACAATGCACAAAAAAATGGTGTCCAGTACACAATATAAAGTAACTGTGCACACTAGTCAACAGTCAACACTGGAGGATCGGAGTGGAGAGGGGGGGAGCCGTGAGTGACAGTCACGGCTCTCTGCAGGGAGATGATGGAGAAGTGAGCGAGCAATGGTATGTGCTTGCTCACTTCCCGATCTATTGAGCCAACATGTGACAGTTTCATTGAAAACATGAAAAAATATTATCCAAGCTGCATCGCTTTCTTCATATCTATCCACAATTGCCATAATAACCAATTCAGGAGAATATTATTTCTATAAGTATATACACTTACAATTACTGTTTAACCTCCCTGGCGGTATGGTTATTTAGGATTTTAGCATCCCAAAGCGGTACATTGTTTTTCATGGCAATTTGTTGTTTTATATTGTAGGCCTGTAATTCTTAGTAAATCTTAGGAATAACTCACCTAAATCTGTCCAAACAAGAGTCCAGTAGACATCCCAGGTATGATAAAGTTTAAAACACGATGAAAACGAAACGAAAAGTCAGATGCCGGCCGGCCGCGTACAGCAGAGGACGCCA